CAAACATGTCAACATGACAAAAATCCGAACCCAATTTCAATAAAATTGGAGCAAAATAAAACCACTTTTAGACTAAAAAAATATCATCAGTTTTTTTCAACGGATCTTAATCTATTCTGTTACTGGTTTATATTTGGGTATTACAGGATGGTAAAAAATGAAGGTATTTTGTGTGGTAAGTGTGTATCCACAGATGAGTGCACACGTATTAAGTTCTCTGTCGACCTCGTTTTTTTATAATTTAGAATGTTGGACACACATGCTACTCTTACCAGAAGTGACATTCTTAAGAACAAAGGCTATGAAAGAGGATAACTACAAGGCTGGCCTGTGTTTTTGTTGATGGTTAACAAACAAAATGTACACTGATTTGATCATGTCCAAATCCTTCTTAACATGATGTAGATAAATAGTTACCATATATACTGTATCACCCAAGTAGAATGAACAGACGGGTCTCGTAACTTCAATTCCGAAAAAAGTGAGGATTGCTTAGCCATGAACATATCATTACAGATTTTAAAGAAAGTAATCACACAATGAGATATTTCTGTAAGACAAATGCATTTCAGTTCATTTAAATGTGGTAGTTTGAGGTGGAGTTCCTTAAACAAATATTTAGAGAACTAAGCACAATTTTTAACCTAAAACGGTTACAAGTGAAATGATAAATGACTTTAGCTTACCTGGCATTGCTTAGGTAGGCACGATATGTTCCTTCCAATAAAATCTCCTTGACACTCCACCGTCGTCCCAGTCGATGTGTTGAATAGCACAAACAAAACTTGAAGGATAGTGTATTGCATTTTCATTTTACACTTCTATGGTGATATCCGTAGTGTTTTTTTGTATGACAAGCCGATGAAGATTTTGACTTTATATGTCCCCTTCTGAACAGTTCTCGGCTTGGGTATCATGTGATATTAAGGGCCCGTAGTGTAGACGATATCGCGTGATGCCATGACAATAGGAAGTACTGCAGTTTTTACAGATATAGAGCCTTACACTAGTTGTTTTGAGTTACTGACAACTGGCTTTCCATTCATCTTAGCTTAATAACGACGAAAGAAAACCATTTTTCATGTTGTCTTAGGGAGTGATAAAAAATTCGCATGTGTTATTACAGCAATTAAGGAATCATTTAATTATATCCCTGAAATAATTGACAACTAGTTGAACAAATGAAACTACAGTTTTAAACATATCATTTACTCTCACCATCATGCATGCAATAAAAGGACACATTCCCTATCTAGAGTTACATAAATTGAATATTTCATAAACAGTTACAGGGTTCTCAGGTTTTGAGGAATATTTCCGCTCAGCATACATTATATCGCGAAAAAATGTTTGTTGCATTTTGAAATGCAGTCATTATACTTCATACTGGTTGTTATTATCCATCATTTTAAGACTAAGAAATATAAAACCATGAACTTGTAGTGTCAGACTTTTGGTCATGTCATGAATGAATAACACTTGACTATTTTAAAACTTTCTGCTTCTTTTTGGATGCCTCTGTAACAAAATAAAGCAACATATTACCTCGCTTCCATAAATTCAAATAGAACATGAAAAGTTGGAGATGTCTGATGTTTAAGGAAATGCACAGAAGGAAACTACGAAATTAGTCGTACGAATAGGTTGAATTAAGTCTAAACTTTACCTTTAGTAGGTATAAAAAATTATACATGTTACCTTTACCCTTAGAGAGAAACAATTGCAACAAACACCCATTATAAAATAGCTTTTTGCTTTCTTTGTACTTCAATATACTATCAAATGATAAATATTAATTCTAGATACCTCTTCACGAATCCTTTTCATTAAAAATGCTTCATATTGTTGAAATAGCAATTGATTTCATCATTTATTGATTACATCTATTCCTAGTGAAAAATTATGCCACGCATGAATATTGTTATGGTATGTAGTTTTGGTCCATGATAAATAAGAGACCAACGAGGTGAAACTATAATAAAAGTTAAATAAAAGTCACACGAATAGCAAGAAAATATCAACATGTATACATGATCATACCACAAACTCTGATTAAATAAAACTAGTGAAAATTATGAACATATACTTATAGATTTCTCAAAAAAAGCACAAAGAGAATAAGACCAGGTCTTCAGGAAGATTAAGCGTCTTCTGATTCATCGACAACGTCCACAAGCTTGAGTTAACAAAGACTTCAAGTGTATTTTCTTTTGACTAATTGACTTTCCACATATTGAAGTGTACATTATATAGAGCACTACATATAACATAGAAACGTGTTATTAACGGTCAATTAATATTACCGTTAAAGGTGTTTTTGAAGCTTTTTTTTTCTGTGCAAAACAGACAGCAAGTTTACTGGTCTAACGTTATAATATCTACCATGTACCGTTTCATATTTTCAGGCTCCACACGTTGCTTTATACCACAAACGCACTAAGGGCAGTGTTGCATGTCACTTTGCTGCTCATAAGTGCATATCCGCACCTTGTGACATGTGTATTTTTTTGTGTTTTCATCCCGGTTCTTCGATAGCTATGTTGAAATGAGTGATGTTAACTGAGATTAGATAATAGCACGAGAAATTAACTTTCATGAGTTACGGCTAGTTATGCATGAAACTACAACTTACTTTTCAATGATCGCTGGCTTGATTAGCTGTGCGGTTAACTATGATGACGGTACATGTGTATTGTTACTACAAAATTCTGTCAATGTCTAGACATAACAAAAAATCGCACAGCACGGATACATCACGTCTTTAAATATATATATAGGATAAATTAAACGTATTTCTGTATGGAATGTTTGTATATCAATAATATCATTGACGTCTTCGACGATGTTATGATGTTTAAAGCACTGAATGTTTGCACCCGAATATACACAACAATACACATAGTATTAGGTTTGTATTGCATTGTAGACAATGTAAAGTGCTTACATTCTTTCTATAATCACGTAGTTCATAAAAAGGTAATATGTCGAAATTACACCATTGTTGGCATTTTTGTGTCATTTCAGTGAAATTTGGGAATATAAAAATCAGAAGAATGTACAGCTTTTTCGTTCCCATTTTAAGGTATGCACAAAATTATCGATAATGTTGAGCACTGGTGATATCACGTGTGGTCTCACGTTACAGTCTCGGTACTTGCTAAGTGTGGACTTTTTATACATCCGTAATTGTCATGCATGTTGTAACCAAGGGCCATCAATACGGTTAAAAAAGATCGTCAAAATAACGCGAGTTTCGTGCGTTTTAAGGTAGAACAGCATTAATAACCGACTTGCGAATATTTACACATATATTTTGAAAATGAAGTACTCTTTGATATTCGTGAAGGATATTCTAGAACATAAAGCTGTTGTTAGAAAAATCTCCCTTCATATCAGAATCATAGAACGCATCTAAGCTATTTTCGTTCAAACTTATTAACTAATATCTATAAAACTGCTAGGAAAACGCATCATGTCGCTGATCCGACTGCACTACGGACTATTTTACATTAAGACTCTTTGGGAAACAAAATATGTACCAACGAATTATTTCAAAAAAATATTTTGGTGCATCGAATCAAAAAGAAAACAACATAACACGGAGATTAGCTTATTGTAACGCAATCTTAATAGAGATATATGCAATAGTTAGGCAAAACATACAGCAATTCAAAATTTCAGAAATGTGATGAAGTGTTCACCTAAAGTAATACAGTATACCATTCATATTATATCATGAAACTAACCCAATGTTTGCTTTTTGGACACTTATTTTATTTATAAATGAAATCGCACTCGATTACAGACGTACAGGTTTACGCACTTAATTTTCATAAAGATGTTTAATATACATGCACAACAACTAGCTTGAAGAACAATGTATTAACACGCGAAACAGATTGCACTGTGGCGTTTTTAATGACTAAGAATTCAAAAAAATTGTAATGTTTTCATGTTTCTCTGTCTCAGCATTTCTTTGGTCGTCCGCTGCAGCTTAAAACAACACGTCTATGGCAAAAATGAACAAAAATAAGATTTACACGGGGACTCCTGAAAAAAATGCAGGGTTTATAAGTCAAGGCGTTCCGGAAGATTAAGCGTTCTTTATTTGATCGACAATACGCCCCATGTAAAACTTTGTCAATCTAAATCAGTATCGTCACGCTCTCAAACAAGCAACCAATCAAGCATCAAACACGAACAGATTCTTATTGCACAAAAAAATAGAATATTTCTCAATGAGATCGCTATGACAAGTTTAAAGCTTCCCCACATTTTCCATCAAACTGCATCTCTTGAAACCCTTGATTATTGGGAACGGAAAAAATTACAATTGTGACAATGAAATGCTTATAACACAAGCTTATGGAAAGCTATCCATTTTGGTTCCGTTGTAGGAATAGCATCGAGCTAAGCAGCTGATGTAAAGGAGTCTGTGGTGTCCTTGATTTCCATATCTGATGGATATTTACGATGAAAATGGTAAAGAAATATAACAATTAAAGACAAGACGTCATTAATACATCTGAAAGTCAAACTGAAGGTCTTTGTGACCTGTTTTGATCAATTCTTCAGTAAATTTACCCTCGTATGTAAAACAAAACGAGTCAGCCAACCTAGGACTGGATATCTTGACGGTGATTTATGAATATATCAATCAATACGCACTGATAGTATTTCGCTTTCAGTTGAAATAAAACCAAAAGTCTGTCTCTGATGGACTAAGGAAGACTTCAGTAAATAATGTTTACAGTGTGTTAACGAGGCATTCCTAGATACCCTCTCGGATATAATATTAGACATGCTAAAGAAAAGCGATGTTAAAGGAGAGGTCCTATATTTTGGAGAGGGGGTTCTGCTTTTAGGATTTAGTGCCTTGTAATTACTCTGTCTCGCATGGTCTTATTTTGGCACTGCACACTGACGTTGTGATATATCTGTATCACAACAATATAATCCGAAACTGGATTGATTTGTGTTTCATACAACCTGTATGAACTTCACTTGACGTCATCTATACAACCATCGGGATAACAAAATGTTTCAAGTTTTTCAGCCAATAGATTTAACTGCGTATCTTGATCAGAATGTTGTGTGGATGTCATTTCCAGATTATTGTTTGTGAATAAATTTTCTTCTTGAAGATTTCTATTCCTCAACTGTCGTGCTGAAATAGATTATATAAACAACTAAAATTTGTATGAATCAGAACATGAATTAAATATTTGATTACACAGCGAACTTATTATTCAATTTTAAGGTAACACTAAGGACTGAACAACATCTGTACTTCTCATGATAAAAATTATTTGACATTCATTTGATTTTTTTTTTTTTTTTTTTTTTATGATTATTGTTATTTTGTGTTGACAGTGATACCTTTGAATATGCGATAGCAAAACACCACGACGACAGAAAGGAGTATCACGGTAACAGGTAATCCGAGAACGACACCAACTTCAATTCTGTGATCCGATGGAATAGCTATTCTAGGAATGAGCGATGGTTGTGGGCTTGAATACTCTTAACAAAGCAAAAGTAAAATACATTTTAACATATCCTTATCTGTATTCATCACAGATTTATAACATTGATCATCAAATAATATGAATGAAGGCACATTTTAAATAACAGGTTTGGTGAGATTTGCATCATTTTGGTTGGTAAAAAAAGTGTTACGTTCCATTGCAACTGCAATACACAAATATTTAAAGTATCCTCAAAAATGACAATTCGTGCCAGTCTTGTTTATTTGTGTTTTGTTATCATGAAGAATGAGGAAGGCACATATGGTGTACGAAAACGTCAATTGTATTTTGTGTCAAATAATTGAATATGTGATAAAAGCTGAATAATTCGTAACCATTGTGCAATAACGCGATATCATAAACATATACACTGCATTCGATACTACAATAAAGTCATTGTACAACATGAAAAAATTCAACTATCTTTTTAACATCACAAAATACGATGAACAACATGGAAACTATTGCAAAAGTACAAGCATCTTTTGCTTCATCGACGACACCCGACATGAAAGCATTAGTCCAAGTTAAAGTTAGTAATGTTACATTCTCAAATGATTCCTTGCAATTTTTGATGACAGCGAAATTAAATATCCCGTGCAGTTTACAGTATTAAAAAGCATTAATATGAAGACTATTAACCTAATGCCCTTCATATAATATTAAATGAAATAAGAATATTGATATGAAAATGTTATCAATAGGCATTAAACGAATTTTAATATCTTGTCGTCTAGATAAAAATAAAAATATCTTAACTGTCTGGGCACAATGTACAGTACCTGGAAGGGTGAAGTCAGCCGATTTCACCCATGTTTTGAATGGACAGCTGTTGCAGTTCATATACTCTATCTGCAACGACATTATGATAACAGCATATATACTAGCTTTTTAAAAGCATATGTATTAAATTGTAGTTCATCATTTGAACCGCATTATTCGAGTTAAGTAGTTCGAACAATGACGTTATGATTGCTTACTGCTCAAAATGTATATTTTAAATTAATAGCGATGGCAATAGCGATATGATAATCTATCCGATTGGAAAAAAATAACTGCAATTATAACTTGTTTGATCTAAAGCAGATTTTCCTATCCACTGAAACCATTATGCTAAATTTAAAGTTTAAAGTCCTTACCATAACTTCATAAACACCATCAGGTTCATCGAAATCAAAAATACAATGGTTGTCATCACCAGCCTGAAAGGTTAAGAATATGTAAATGTGGCTCATACCTTGGAAACGCAACAAGAAAATAAGTAAATACCAACATATAATTTGAAGCGATACACCGGCAAAGCTTCATCAAAGAACACCCCAGAGAAACAAGGAAGATGTGAGATTTGTTCCGAAAGATTAGGTATCGTCTATTTCAACAACGGTCTCCGTCGCGTATTTTTACAAAATCGTTCATGTAAGTAAGTAATAACGTTTTATATAATCTAATTTATGTCAACATTACAATTTGATAATTAATAATAATGTCTGGACAAAACTGGTACGAATTTTTGCAAAATTTGTAAATTAATTTATCAAATAAACAAAGAATTGTGTACCTAGATTTACTGGATACAGGATGTTTGATAAGAAACCCTGGTATGAATTAGACACAAAGTACAATACGTTCTTACCTTGTTATGTTTTACTGTCGTGCTCAATTTTACCTCCCATGTCTCCCAGTCCTGGAGACTGATTTTATAATACGTGTTATTGGTTACAAAGCGAAAGGGCAGAGGTTCAAAAACTACATGTATGCCTCGATGTTCTGGAAGAACCGCTGTCATGATATTTGGTTTCCATTCATTTTCTTGGGTATCAGGCAAATACCGACCTAAATTGTAAATCGTTTAATCATTTAACGTGCTATTAATACGACAAACATTACTGATTTTGATATTGATCCATATTAATAACAATCACAACAATTAACAATTTACTTAATAAGAGGAATCTTAAGGCACGGTCACGCCACTAATCCTATGAGTGCCCAATAGTTTCTAAAAAAACATATTCTACTTACGATTATGCGATGTAACTTGGTAGGTTATACTTTGCCCCTGTAGATTTTGATGTCTTGACGATGTAAATATTGTAATAGTCAACAAATAGAGGTTCAGAAACACTTCACATTTTCCCCAAGTACAACGAACATTGCATGTGTCGAGATTTCCAAAAGTACTGCGGAAGGTACTCTTCTGAAATTGAAAAAAGAAATTGAATTAGGTTTCGCCTGATAAAATTATAAAGGTTTTCCATCCTCTAAAAACAGCATAGAAAATATCAAACTAAAATTTAATTGAACTGGAGCAAATTATGAGCAAAAGAAATAACACAAATACTCATGAAAATGAACAAAGAAAATAAGATCAATGCTCCAGAAAAGCGAGCCTTTTCTGCAATGTTATTGGAAAACTTGGCCAATCCCAGCAAGTGATACCACGTTCTCAAATGATAAAACAGTAATTATGTACTGTTTATTCCATAAATTATATTGAAAAATGATTTTAAAAAAAAACGCACTTCAATTTACAATCCTCAGATAAAAATATAACACAAATCATTGTTATAAATCGACAAACTTTATCTGAAATATCCAAAAAAATCACACTGAATTTCGATAAAACAGCAATCTTACCTCCCTTCGGGCTATTTTGGGAGAATGTACTGGAAACTGTCTCCAGGTAGGAAATTTCTCATAATACGGATCAACGTAATACTCGTCAGAAACCTCCCTTGTACTTCTCAACAGTAGCTGCATTACAGCTATGCGGCAAACAACAACATTCGCCAATATAATGCAGCAATATTTTCTCTAAAATTTGGGTATTTTTAAGTACGTGAGTTTAAAACACTAGAATTATGCATATAATTGTTTATCCGTCAATTGGCATCGCTAATTGTTAGATAAAACATTTTTCAAAGAAATTTGCTATTAACGACGCATATGTGAACAATTTTTCAACTTAATATTCATATTTGAACAGAAGATATTGTACTCTTATTATACAAAAATTGATATTTTTTTCCAGCATCTGACATCTTAATGTTAATTTTTTATACAGTTTTTCACAATTCCATTCAATGCTTGTAACCTTGTGGTATTGTTCTCACCAGCATTGTTGTTATCCGTTGGCAAGGATATGTCGATACTAAGTACAGGTTTAGTCTGCCCAGATTCAAAGGATGGGGATAGGAAGATTCCAGTCACTAAAGGAATGGGAAGTTTGGCTCCGAAAGACACATCTTGAATAGGACTTGCCAAATGGAAACATCGTGATAACTCTGAAATGTGTATTAGTTTGATTTTTATAAATCGTATCCACCATGGAAAATGGGTTGAGGGTATATTTGTCATAATGTAACGGTCGGAAAAATCACTGTTAGATGGATTTATACAATACTCACTGTCCTTGTATAGAGCTGTACAGCTGAGAGATGGCTCGAATTCGTATCTCTCCTGTCAAAATGAAGCAATGCAAGCATTACGATGCATAAACGTTGTAAAACATGATTTTTTTTAATTTGCAGTTTTGTATCTTGTTCAAGCCATGAACTGGTTATTATATGTCCATTTTGATACCACACTCTTTTTGTTCGGGGCTGATGATATATCATGATATCAAAATAGTCATTTCACAATCTTTACAGAAGCAAAAAACAAAATTAATACAACAAATAACAAATACTAACAATAAAAATAAGGAATTGATTGTAATTAATTACAATTTTAAAGGTAATTTAAGTCTTTTCCAGTTAGATTGCGGACAATACTTTCAACCGTCTTAATACTTCGCGATCATAAAAATGAACCGCGTAATCGCAAAAGCATGATCCCCGCTAAAATAACCGGCAATACGGTAGCTGGATAAAATTTTGTAAAAAACATATTTCTCTGATCATTTGTTCATCTATCAGTAGTGTATATAAGGTGTGTTTATGTTGATTTAGTGTACTCGTCGGGTAAACCTGCCTGTACAGGTATTCACTGGGAGCCGAAGGGCACATAGACAATACAATGTTCACACTGAAGTAACTAACCAAAGTGTGCAGTTCAGATCGGTTTGGATCATAGTTGTAAGAAAATACTACTTTTTAACTTTACAGTGAATAACACGAACAAAAATAGCTTTAATAGTTATGAGCTTAAATAAATCTTTCTGTTTAATTTTAATGTGAATTGTAATGTATGATCGACGAAATTCTAAATATCATCTTATATCACGATAAGGATTTCTAAACAAGTTCGCAATACTTTTCACATTTAATCATGCAAGGGGTATGCTCCTGCATGAACTATTCTTATTTTGTTACTGTGAAAATGTATTTTTATGAGAACTTGATACATGTGAACGAGTATCGTGTTGATAAGAAAAAGGCCGTGGACACTGATCTTTCTCCTGTTATCTGATAGTACAAAAGCATTTACTTGTCAAAGAGGAAAGTGCACCGTGAAGCTAACCAACTAAACCTTTAACTTTAAAAGTGCATTTTCTTTCTTACGAAATCATTATACACAAGTGTATAAACTAATTTCTCTTCCAAAACTAGTGTGTAATTATCATTATTATTTATTTATTATTGATTTTTATTATTTTTTTGTAATGTTCTCGTTGTTGTGAGGTTTCCTGGTGGTACATTGTTTTAATTATTCACAGGATTGACACAGCTCTGAGATGGGCATTTTTTCCCTTGTGAAGCTGTTTGCAAGGTTATGTGTCATAGATAAAGGAAAGAAAACCCTTCTATTTGGTATTCCTTTTTATCAAATGACAGACTCTTTAGCTTTCTTTACAGAGCAAGATACATCAAGAAAATACCAACATGGCAACATAATCATAATTCATACTCATATTACCTCAAACTAAGGCAAAATATGAACAAAATATTTTTTTTCTCAATTGGATCACTTTGCCGATCATAAAACCCTCCAATAATTTTCTTCAACTTACATCTTTTGAACCCTAGTGTTACTCGTTTGTCAGTTGGCAACTTCTTACACAAAAATCGTGATAATGAGAACATGCCATTGAATATCGAATCAGTTGTGACATAGATTGGATATGCAGGGATATTGCTACCCAGAAATGGAAAATTCTCAATATTCAGCAAACGTATAATGATTAAGTAATTCATTATTTAATTATGTAAAATTGAAACACATCTAACTCTAATCATCAGAAGCATCAATTTGCGATTTTTAACTTCCCGTGATTTTTTTAAAAAATATTGTATATAATTGCGTGCAGTTAAATATTTCAAATGCATTCACTATCGATATGTTTCACGTGAAAATTGACCGAGTGTGCTATTACAGGTAACAAAAGAATAAATTTAAGTTCCCAGAAACCGTAGCCCAAGCCTATATATTCACCTGCAGTGTAAACGTAAACTAACTTTTACCATTGCAATGAAAATACCTGTGTATAAACTATATATATATATGCATGTATAATCATATAACCGTTCCATTGACTTATTCTAGCGATGTTTTGTAGGCTATGTGTTGATCGTGTGTACTCTAAACCATCTGATGAAAAATTGCTTAAATATTTCCTGGTACATTTAACATCGCATGTGTGTAATTACATGAAAGTATGCTCTAATGAACTACGAATGCCCACTAATTTTAATGATCAGTAACAAACTATCAAACTATCAAAGTTTATATCATAATTAGTATGAATGTTAATCCCTGAAACATCAATGTGATACTTTTTTCAGAAGAGTAAGGATACTTTAAGACAAAAGTATAATTATATAATCAGCGATAAAGGTTAGGATTGAGAGACATGTTCCTTCCAATTGCATGTCCTAAGAGGCAACTTATGTGGAAACTGCAAGCAGATTTAGTGTTCACAGTTATGTCCTCTACTTTGGAATAGAAAGATAGATAGATTGGTAGGTAGGTAGGTAGGTAGGTAGGTAGGTAAAAAACAAAAACGATGCACTCCTGATCACGTCTTTTTGTTTTGTTTTTTCTCCATAATTAAAGTCAGGCTATAATACCTGCACTGTTACGTCTGAGATATATTCATGTTTAGTACGAAAAGTCTTATATACTGAGCATATACGGAAAAACTGAACATGATACACAACAGCAAGAATACTATATTAATGTGTGTATTTTAAGTCAATTTTTTGTAGTATCTCGGAACTGAATACAAAGGGTAGATTTAGACTTCAATAACTATATATCAACATAAGGTCAAAGTCTCGATAAACATATCAGCTCTAAATGTACTTATCATGTAGGTATCTGTGGTGTATTTGCATGTCCATCACACACCAGATACATATCGCATCATACTAATATGAGAACGCCTTGATGGACATAACTTAAGACAAATGTACGAATTATTTCCTAAAGAAACTAATCCAGATGATATACAAATATTTTTTTATTCCAGTCCTTTGCAGGTTCTACTTCTTCATCGCTATTTCCACAGCATGTGCTTGAGGTCGTGTTACACAGTGTGATGACTCAAATAAAAGTGTCGCAGTGTTTACAATGCTACCAGCTATACCGTATCATCGAGACATGACTACAATACTCACCATCTGACCTATCTTCTCTGTCTCACAGAGACTCCAATTCGGTTGACATTCCTGGTGGCTTCCCATCGGTGGGTCATTACACTTGTCCAAACTGAAAGTCAAACTGACCAATATAGTTAGAACAATGACTTGATACAAATTTCGCCTCCTTGTAAACATGTTGGCTGTAATTCTGTTGAGTCAAGGTGACCTGCTGACGTATTTAACAATTCTCTCGGCTGGCGGGACTGTAATAGGATCACACATACCCACATGGCCACCCGTCCGCATTTCCCTGTTTGTAACATGACTATTCAAATCGCTCTTTATTTACTATGGAGAGGAAATTTTACACCAGTTTTATATTTGTAAATTTGAGTAATTAAAATGGTAATGCATCATTAAGAGGCATTTGGTTCACGTAGAATCCAATACAAATTAAGTTCATGGCACTTCATGTTGAATTTGACCTTATCCTGATGGCATTTACATGCCCATGAATAACCATCTGAAAGCTGTCCAATGCTTATGATTATCAATTTAGGTCTTGTTATAAGATGAGTAAACCTCAGTCTGTCTACACAACTTTTAATTTCTCAATGCCTTTGGCAGTTTGCGAGCTGGTGACTTCGCCAAGGGAACCTATTAGTTATGTCATACAGTGGCATGTATTAATAACAGAAGATTTAGGTACTATTGGCATTTGCCTAAAATCGTTACAGCGATAGAATACGGTATTGATTAAGTTGATATCACGGATTGTTAAAACGTAAGCTGCATATGCATCCATCACAACGATATGTATTCGTTAGATTATGTAGCCCCCGTGAAGAAACAGTCTAAATTATACCATATATTGGGTTTAGTATTCTGTAAGGCTGTCACTACCTCTTCCACGAAAATGAGGGAAAGTAAACAAAAATAAGTAAAACATAAACTAACAACCCCACCCCCAAAAAAGAGTGCACTTAATGACAGAAATTTTTCATAAAGCAATCTCAAAATTCTATCTGGCCCATCCATTATGATACAATATAGACCTATCCTTGTGTACTTCTGTGAATATTCAGATAATGATTTACCCCACGAAACGGATAGATGAACAAGAGATAACAACAGGTAAAATTTTAAGATAAAATCTATATACCGTTTTTATATGTAAGTTCATTTAAGGCGAAACACTTCAATTCAAACTTAAATTCCCATTCTATAATCAACGTCAATAGTCCATGATACCCTGACAATGATATATAGTGATTGTGTTGTGACATTGATTAATGCTGAATTTATGATCAAAAGTAATCATTAACAATATAACTTGTTGGTGGAGTAGGAACTCGTTTCTGAATAGTAACATGCTTCCTTGTTTTCACACCGCATGAGTGAGCTGACAGGTAGGTAGGTAAATACAGCCATTTTGATATACACGTATCTTTATGTATGATCCAATCGAAGAGTGCCCGTCTTGAAATCAACACCGCAGCAAACAAGGCCGCTTAGGTATTAAAGGTCTATATAAGTTATATACAATATACATATTTATTATAGATACAATCCATGAACCTTCATAGTTATATACCATATACATATTTATTATAGATGTAACCCATGAACCTTCATAGTTATATACAATATACATATTTATTATAGATGTAACCCATGAACCTTCATAGTTATATACAATATACATATTTATTATAGATGTAACCCATGAACCTTCATAGTTATATACAATATACATATTTATTATAGATGTAACCCATGAACCTTCATAGTTATATACAATATACATATTTATTATAGATGTAACACATGAACCTTCATAGTTATATACAATATACATATTTATTATAGATGTAACCCATGAACCTTCATAGTTATATACAATATACATATTTATTATAGATGTAACCCATGAACCTTCATAGTTATATACAATATACATATTTATTATAGATGTAACCCATGAACCTTCATAGTGCCATGAAGAATACAAAATACTTTCTATCCAAACATGTATAATTTCCAGTCACATTAATTATCATATTCATAGTAATCTGAAAAATAATTGAACTAATACTACCGGATAAACTCGTTTCAGGTTTTATTCACTCGAATTTTAGAATAGAATCTACAATGGTATTTATCTAGAAATTTATTGACTACGTCAATTTGAAATTAAGGACACAACTAACTTTTCAAAATCGGCTGCTGATCTCGATTTTTCCTGACAACAAACACAACATGGACAGCTTTACATCAAGCTATATGATAAGCTTGGTGATTTGAATTCCTTATTCTGGGGTTGTTTTTTCTTTCCATTTCTGAACCCCTGCATACCTAACCGGTGATGTTAACATGTTGCAGTTGATTCGATATTCAAATGCTTCTTCCTGATATCAAGGTTTCTTGATAAAAGGGAAGCTTTTTGGTCGTCATAGCAATATCATTGAGAAATAGTGTATATCGATGCGATTTGAAGATGGGCGTATTTGATTCTCGTCAGTTTGCCTGTAGACTCCGTGGTCTAATACCTTGTTCTCAGTTGAGAACGTTACATTAATTACTGAAATTGACTAAGATTAACAAGGTTTTTGTCGTCAATGAAGCAGAAGACGCTTGATATTCCGGAACATGTGGTCGAATTTTCCATATTCTTTTTTCAGAAATCCGTGTAAATCTGTCTGTTGTTTATAGTTTGGATGAATTTGAGACATAATTTGATTATAATTATGTTCACATGTCGGTGTTTTCTTGCTCTTTAACTTAGTATGACACAGGGTCTTGTTTGCGGAAAAAATAAACGTTGGTGAAACAACTGCTATTTCAGCATTGAACTGCTTTCTTTTGACATTCAAAAACATCTGATTTCTTAGAAGATAGAAACATATAAATCAACGTCAGTGTTTCATGTTGAATTGCCTTTATCCCTTGGGCATTCATATGTCCATGAATGTGAAATGGAAACAGTTCAATGCTTAAAATAAGCATTTATCTTGTTAAAGGGCATCGTGGTACTTTCGATATTCCTACACTTACTTGGCAGTTCATTAGTTGGAAATACACAACTGATTTCGTTAAGTTTACATCGTTGCAATGCCTGTTTTTCGATGGCAGTATTTAAAAAGTTTCCTTTCAAAGGATGCCAAGTCCATTGTTCGGATTACTACTCGCAAATGATTGTATATCATTGTACTTGAATTTTATGATGTTTGCAGTGCAATGAAAGTAGTTTTTCCTGGTAATGTTCATATAATTGATATAAATGTACAAGCCCACAGTACCTTTATGTATTTATAACAATGTTTTGTTCCATTTTCTCTCATTTTAATTCATGTTTCAGCTCTGCTGTGTTTAATTCTAAATTTATATCGAAAAGCGCTATGCATTGGTACCTTTTTACAGTCATCTATATACACTTAATACATTTTATATTGAACAAACACCACTCACTGCTACACCGTGTTGAAATTAGCTTTTCTACCTAAAATGTTAAATCGCACAACAATGGACAACGTGACGTCGAAGTGGAAATCCGACCAAATTGACGTTACGATATCCATAGACGAAACTATGACGTTCGGAAACCCTGGTTGCGTATAGAAAAAAACTAATGGTCATATACTACATAATATATACTATGATCTGGACCAGGGCGAAATCTTCATATTAATATTGACAAGGAAAAATTGTATTACATTTTCCTACACATATTTTCGTTTTCCTGAACGTCGATAATCAACGATCCAGTGAGCAGTAAGACAGACAAGTGAATATCCTACATGTATAAAGAGACAGCAGAGTATTCTGATGTTATCGACAGCCAGTCTGCTGAATCATTCAGTGTGCTGTGAAATTGAGTCGTAAAGAATCAGTTGAAAACACTTGTGTTTAAAAGGTACCAGTAAATTCGTGTTTCCTTGTACCAGAGGATGAGATAAATAATATCTCACCGAACACTGAAGATGGCTGACACTGTCACAGACCATTACATCATGTGGTATAGTAATATATATCCTTAACTAATATTGTGTTTATCCAACAGGTGGGTTATCCGAAACTTTATAGCTATCCTTTACCTCTATGGAAATCCCATTTCAGACTTACTTTCTTGTAAAAAAAACTTTTCTGGTTAGCAAGACATTAACAACTCAAGGGAGGTTGTGACAGGTTATGTAATTTCGTTTAAGATATGTATTGTATTTCTACCTATATGTAATTCATCCACTGATATCATTATATTTCCTTAAGGAATGATCTAGTCCTTTCACAAAATGTCTTTTTTTCATTTGGCATGTTCAGTTTTGAATTATGTTCAATTATTTTTCATACAATACTAGTTCTCAGGATATCTATATAAAAGACAAGGGTTTAAAATTTTGTTTCTAAGCATTAAGTGAAAATTCTGGAAACATTTGTGAGATATAATTATGTCCTATTATCGTTTGCATATTCAGGTGTCAAATATTATTTAGCTTTTTGTAGCTGTGACAGGTACATTGTGTCATCTGGTATTCAATCTGTAGGAATAAGTCAGCAAAAGTAACTCTGAATAGCTCTGTAATGAGAAACCATTTCGTTTTTTTATTATTATTATTTAATATTAATTACCCGTTATCTCGCCTTCATATCGCATATGTCTTGACACCTAACATTGTATGTCTTTGTATGAGTTAAATACGTCGATCATTTGTAATTCAATGCTGCGGATATTTCATACGTGCAACAAATAATTTTTATTGCAAAATTACATTGTGTGGTCGCAGCAATTGTAGCTTCCTAAACTATACAATTACAGACTACAGTAAGCTTAACATGTGTACATCTATACTACATGGCCAACACAACTCCCTCTAAAGCAAACATCATATAGAATGACATAAACGAAAACCTGCAAAACGGCGTGGAGTGAAAAATGTTCAGGTTTTACCATTTAGATTATAATTGTATTGTAAAACGAAATAAGATAAACTGCAAACACATAAAACAGAGGAAATTATATACTTTATTACTATACAGTAATACTTCTTTTAAGCAAAAACAACACCAAGAACAAACGAGCCAGTGGCAATCATGCAGTTAAACAAATTACTATTTCAGGTGTATGAAATCTATTCAGTGACTAATTCATACATTTTCTGTGAGATGTCATTCTTCTTTTCGAAATTTGCAGAATGAAGACAAAAGTCATTGCCGACGATTAGCGGATTATGTACAGGGCAATATGGATCATGTTCTATGAGAGGTTGTCGAATATCGTCCTGTCTGTTAGAATGTATAGGACACGGATCACTAGGGGGCATAATGGCAGGCTTTGTTGAATCTATAACTTGTTGGAAATGTGTGAACTCATTCGAACTTTCGAAATCATTATTGAGGCGAGGGCGGCATTTTTTTAACCTTTTCAAACAGAAACCTTGTTGATCTTTCTGTATGTGCTCTATAAGTTCTCTACAACCGTCGCTCCATTTAAAGTACGAGTCTAAGAAAGATTCCAGGCATTCGTCTGTTTCAGAAAAACATATTAAAGAGTCTTTCCTGTAATGTGTATGTTTCCATTTTCGAATCAATTGTTTAATTTCTTCGGTTCCGTAATGGTGACATATTGTTACGATAGTCACCATGTTCTGCCTACGGAATTCCACTTTGGGAGAGTCCTCTAGCAAACTCCACCATTCATCTTTAGTCATAACCTTTGTATGAAAATGTTGCTGTAGGCACTGCTCCAACGCCGTGGAAACATTTGCGTGTACTGATTCTCGGCACATATTTAAAATATTTACCTTAGGCCGGTGATCTGCAAAAAGTTAAAACAAAGATGAAATTAATCTGTTTTAGTTCAATCATCAGAATAAAACAGGAACATTGAAAGTTTAGAGTGAGAGAGAGAGTTCGTTCATTTTAAACACCATCCGACTTAAACATAAAGAGCATAAATGGCGATAAAGATTTCGAATTTTGTTTATTTTGACAAGTATATTTGTGCTAAAGTTGTCTTTTCACAAACAATAAGAAAGTATAAATTAGTCAACAGAATCGTAATCCAAACTCAAATTCAATAAAACTAAGACAAAATATGAATAAAAGAAAAATTTAAAAGGAGATTCTAGGATGAGTAAAATTGGAAAAAGACCAGATGTTCAATTTTACAAGAACGTGTGGTTCGTATAAGAATTGTTTTGCTACTTTATTAGTATTATTTGATGTTATAAAATAACTGCAAGGAATCTATAAAGGAACAATTTGATCATATACTTGCCTATAGACAACATGAAACATGTCAACAGGATAATGAGTAGTACCAGTCCACTCACGACACCAACCGTAGCGTAAATCGTTGAAAAGACATTCTCTTCCCTTGAGGTACGTTCTACCAATAAAAGTTTACAATGCTGAAATTAATGCTGATTCATAGAAACTTTTCTTCAACGATAAAATTGTACAGCAAGACAATACCAATGTGTGAACCGAACTCAAATTCACAAAATAGAGTTAGATATAAACAATTTAAAGATTTACAGGGAGACCCCTGAAAAAGTACAAGGAGAATAAGGCCTGGTGTTCCGGAAGAGTTAAAGTCTGATGCTTTATCGACGACACCCTCCGTGTAAATTTAGATCAATTCAAATAAGTAATGTCACGTTCTTAAATGGGAACAAGGTATACAGCGCCTCCAACATTTACAAATTTACATATTGTGTAAGTTTTTTCTATTGGCTTGTTTGTTTATTTCTATTAAAATAAAACATTAAATGTTAACAAGAACATTTATTTGGGATGCATTGAACCATAAATGTGAAAGTGTGAAAAATATTTGCTTCGTGAGATAATATCTATATATATACAAAGGTGGATAGCATTCACGTATTTAAACAATGATATACAAGGACGAAATGATTTGTATATCTCATATAGCTTAATTAATCATCTGTTCATAAAGAACATCGTTTTCCGTTGTATGTCATGGACATAGGCAGATGATTGTCAGTGATATGAAGGATTTGTATCAGATCTAGAGTTGTTGAAGCGTCGTCAAATCAATCAATCTATTGAATAATGAAATACTACTGATATTCGTGTTGATTTTAAGTATACAAATAAGTAAATATATTTACCTGTTTGGTAATTGACTTCAATGATTCCCGACTGAGATAAAGGACATGGACTGATTCCAATACATTGCTGTACTTTCACCTGTATCAAATTCAATCAACCGATATCATCATTCGTAGAAAATAACAGGGTTTTTTAGAGAAAAATTGAATGAACGTATTCTAACATTTGTTTTCATAATTCCCAGTCGTAATGATGATCAATACTATTAACTGTAGAAATAACATGAATACAAATGACAAATGAATATACTTTTTTTTTCTAAATACATTAAACAATAATTGTAATTAAATGAGTTTTGATTTTTTATGTATTTTAATGTCATGTAAATGTTCTAACCTCCACTCTGTAATTTCCATTGCTGATATCAATGAATTCGTGTTCATATCTTGGAGACCCATGTTCAATCTGAAAGTTGGATAGAAAAATCATTTAAATTTTTTTGTTAATATGGCGCGTGTTTTATTGTGCTATTACTGACTTTATACCACACTGGAAATTTTAAGACTTGCTAATAAATCACGACTGCCCAGTACACAAACAATCATTGAGACACAAAGTCAAAAGAACATATTCTATTTTATCATATTACCTGAACGGTGTGTTGTTTGCCAGTTCCAGTGTCTATTACACTGACAATGTAAACGGTAAAATTGTTGGCGTGTTCGTCCGATATTGGTTCAAACACTACATGCATTGTCCTAAGCCGGTAGATGTAAGCTGCAGCAATCGTCAATTTCATTGATTTTGGAGTAAAATATCTTGCTAAAGTATAAAAAGCACATATATAATTAGATATGGCTAATGAAAAATCTGAAGATAGGTCTCAAGTTGTTTAAAACAACAATATCCAATCATTTTATTATTAAGCATGTTTTCCAACTGTTGAAATTCAAAAGTTCAGTAAACTTTCCCTGTCTTGATAGTAGTAATCCTCTTTTTCCTTACTATCAGGTTTAGGTTCAATCACGAATTAAAGGTATTCTTTGAAAAATGATGATTTTCGTATCGTCATCTTATTTGCAATGCTTAATCTACCTTGGTTTAAACAGGTAAGCTCTTTCCGGAACAGGTGACCAAGTAATGAGTTTTATGAAGACACAGATATTGTAAAACATACAATATACAGTTGAATTATGTAATGATGCTTGACTTTGAATGCACAGACCTTGTAATACGATTAAGAAATGTTAGGTATATCTACCTGACATAGCACATGCAAGAATATGACCAATCAATAAAAATATATTGCCAATTAGAAATAACTTCTTATTGAAGAAAAGTATATATATCTAAATATCCTAGTGTCACATATTCCATCAAATTGTTTTTAGATAATTGTTAAAAAGAAAAATGAATTTACTTGTGTAGACGGTAAATTGGTAAGTTACACTTGATCCAGGGTGACTTGGATTCATGGTGTATGCTGTGAGCGTGATGAGGTAAACTCGTTTTTCACTCTGACAATCCAAGCCCATAAAACATCCGTACACAATTTCCCTCTGTCAAATAAATTCACGTAGGTTATCTTTTACTTTCATATCAATTGATAATTCTTTTATCGTTTGCAAATAATGAATTCATAAAATCAATAACAAACAAGTACACAAATTAAAAAATGGTTTTACAACTATTTCATAACACGTGTACATGTTATCCGAAGCCTGTTAAGTAGATGAATTGGGTAAATATCAGAACAATTAAAGGATAAACGTGCCATTAATTTGTCACATTTTGCACTACCAACATACCGCATAAACGTTATCCTAAGCTTGGATTTCATTAACTACAGAGGAAGTTAGACGATATCAGGAATTTTCTTCAATCAGTAATTAATAAAAAAAAATAGCTTACGGGATGTGTTTTATCTTGCTCCGGGGTTTTATAAAATGGAAAGTTGAAAAGTCGATAACGAGGATTGTCCTTGTAATACGGGTCTAGCAGTTGTGGGTATCTCGGATCGTTCATACCAACAAACTTAACAAGCAGTGCTTTTGTATCTGTTAGGTTGAAAATGGTTTGGTTATTGTCCAAGCTAGCAGTCATACAAAAGTAGGTACTTTCAGATTAAAAAAAGATGATTATCATCACATGAAAAATAAACTTAGAAAGCAAAAGACATGAGTCACAGCTCGACATGAGGAGAATGTTTTAAGAGTTAATGTAATGCCATTTAAAATCTCACATTTAGTTTCACACATTTGGAAACCATTTACGGAAATCGCAAATATATTTGATTCGTGTTACAATAATGAAATGAATTAACTCATGTTGGTTAAGATTCTAATGTCTGCATGTTTACCCTAACACTTACCGTAGGGACTGTTTCTTGGTAACCGAAATGTTAGATTTAAATTTGGATTGTTCCTGATGTTGTTTTTGTCTGCAATCATATAGAAACTAACGGTACTGATTGTGGGCGGATTCATGTCCACCAATGCATCCAGGTCGTGCTCATAACTTTCCAAAATTCGGTTGGTGTTTTTGAACTGTTTCCATTCTAGTGTAAAAAAAATATAGGTAAATATAAAGCAATCGATCTGACTTGTAATCAAACCAATAAGAGATAACAAAGATAGGAAGAGCAAATGAACAAATTCTATCGCTTTACATACATTGGCTTACAAGAAATATCAATGATCCAGGTAAATCAGGTATGTCGACGACAAATATTGTATTCCCAAAGTGTCCTCATTGTTTTCTTATGTTCAGCCTATCTCTGTCTTATATAAGTATCAATTAATTATTATACTTATTTGATGTTAACAAAGGTGAATGTATCAACTACATGCTTATATATTATAAAATCTGGACAGTTTCTAAATGAGGGCTACCAAAAATGGTTCGAGTAATCTTATCAGCTAGTGGTATGGTTATAACGCATTCACCTCTCACTCGCACCATCGAAACCAAAACCATCAATAAGACCATAACAACTCCCAGACATTTTTTTTACTTAACATTTATCAATTTTTTACCTTCGAACATTCCAATTGAGCAATCAAAGTAGGAGTCTGTCGGGAACCGTTTCTGGAAAAATTCCATAATGAAAGTAAATTATATTTGTTAAAAGTTAAGCAAAGAGTAAATTGTATTTTTTAAATATATTGCAAGTAATGCGAGAGAAAAACAAGCAAGGGAAGAAAAAAAACGACCATATTGGATCACCAGTTCATTGACATATTAAAGGGGACAATACTGATACAAATGTGCCTTACTTTTCAAATGCCGTGCTTCTTTTTAATAATTTAATTTAAAATAATTTCTTTCTTTTCATAAATATTTTTTCTTTCAAAAATATTCTTTATGACGATTTCCTTTTTTATCCATATATTTAAAGCAATCATCAATATTTTGTTTCATTAAACCTTACTTGCTTAGGTTTGAAATCACGAGAAAAATTCTTTTAATGTAAGTAGTTGTATACTATTTGATAAGTCAGTAATCTGTAAATGCATGTCACCATCATTTTCATCGGAATACTAAAAGTTAACGAAATTGGGCATTTGGTAATTTTAATATGATCCAAGATGAACTGGTTTACATAAATTCACTTTTTTTTATTAGACAAGGAAATATATATTTCAGAATAGTTGCTTCAACTTTTCGTGTTTTGCATATATAAGGATGTTTTTACAGATTTGCTTAATGAATCTTTTCCTTTTAAGTAAAAGATATTTCGTCTTTGCAAAATGATACTCGACACATTTTTATGACAATTGAATTCAAACTAATGATAAAATACAAAGCCTGGTAAAGACATTTGAATATGAAAGTAATACTACAGAAGAATGGTTTTTACACTGCATAAACATGAACTTTAAAAAAGTAAGGAAGCATTTACTAGTGATGCTTTCACTTAATGTTAATAGAAGGAAATGGACGATGATAAAAAGCGTCACTTTCGATTTCGTTTCTCATACATTTTCATAATTAGTAATAAAATTGCGTCTTAATCTTAGTTTTGAACTTAATCAATACATTGCAGTTTAAAGGAAAACCAATGATCTGCATACAATTACAGGGATATGAGGACAACAAGAAAAGAATAACGACATTCAATGATAAATATTAGTGCTGAGCAGATGTTAGAGTACGATATATTCCACACTCTTATCGATAATCAATCAAGACAAATACAAATACTTGGAATCTTTGTCAGTTAAATAAATATAGAAATACCAGAAGCGATACTAATAAGATGGAGACAACTGTTTTGTTATGCCTCACGTTACATATAAGTTGTCTTCAGACAGTGTCATTTAAACTAGGTATATGCATGTAGGTCACTAATTACTTATGGAAGTAATGGGCCAGTTGTCATATCCGAAATTACATGATATATTAGATACTCTAAAATGTATTCATTCATACTGAATGAGAATTACAGTTCTAATGGTTGGTTGGTCCGAGGTAGCAACCATAAGATTTCATTGGTTGAACAAAGGACACATAACTTTGTGAAGTGTAGTCAGATAATGTAAGTAAAATACAGCAGACAGCAGTTTGGTCCTTCTAGGACCCTTGGGTGATTGTAAATCTTCTGTCTGTCTGTCTGTCTGTCTGTCTGTCAGGATGTCAGGCTGTCTGTCTGTCTATCTGCCTGCCAGCCTGCCTGCCTGTCAGTTTGTCAGGCTCTATGTGTGTGTGTGTGTGTGTGTGTGTGTGTGTGTGTGTGTGTGTGTGTGTGTGTGTGTGTGTGTGTGTGTAAGTGTCTGTCTGTCTGTCTGTCTGTCTGACTGCACGCCTGCCCGCCTGTCGGTCTGTATGTCTCGTTCTCTGTCTCTTAAATTTCGCAACCCCTATTTACAGAGTATTTAAGACTATTTTCTTTTTCAGGAAAACAATTTCGATCCATCTTACTTATCTAAATTCTGCTATTATCCTGCAGTTTCGTAAGATGTGTTATGTCACGATGATAGTATCATGGAAAACGGGTGTTTGACAAAGGCAACGAATACATGAATAAGTTTGCTTTATCATGAAAAATGTTTTTAGAATTAAGAAGCATTACTGTGAAATCATTTAAAACTTTACGCATTACGTGAGCCTGTTTAAAAATTAACATACATTTCTATAAACATCTTTTGCAATACACACTCGATGATAAGTTATTTGCTGGAGACATATGAATAACACGTGGTCATTCCTCAAGAGCATGCTCAAACGTCTTTTTATGCTTATCAAAGCCTATATGGTCCAAAATATATATGGTCCAAATTAATTTACGACCCAAAGTCTATATGGTCCAAACTGATTTATGACCTAAAGTCTATATGGTCCAAAATACATATGGTCCAAATTAATTTACGGTCCAAAATCTATATGGTCCAAAATCATTTACGGTCCAAAGTCTTTATGAATTAAAATTAAAGATACATTGAATAATTGTGTATTCATTTAACATAGATAGAATTATTAGCAAACCAGACGTACTTTTTATTCTAGTTTCGATAATTTTGACCGAATATAGTTGCATGAAGCCTTCTTTGTCATTCTGCTGAAGAATCCCTGAATAGTCTTAGATTGTAAATGTATATTATATTTTGATCCTCGACGCATATTCTCATTTAAGAATAAAATTACATTGTGAACAATGTTTTCAAAAGAAATACTGTAATAACATTCACTATTTTAATTCCGGTAGGTGTAACTAAATTGTATATGGTATTGTTCTCAGTAAAAGTGTCCTGAGTTTAACAAAATAAAAGGATTTCTTTTATAGCTAGACGAGTTTTTACCATAAAATTGTCACTCTACCCTTATGAAATATTACCGAAGTGTAACCACTTCACACTGCCACTCGAAGTTTCTACCTATAGAAGGTTATTATGATTGTAATCATCCTGGATATCTCGAAGGTTTCTCAACATGATTAAGGAGTCAAAACCAGTTTTCAGTCCGGCATGTTCAGCAACCGGGTGAAAAATCTACATTATAATGTACTTTGTCACAAAATTTTTGTTAATTTTCATTACATTGTTTCTAAATTATTGTTTTCTGTCATATACCCTTATTAAATTTATCATATCAACACAGATAAGAATGAACGAAAAACGGTGACGTGATGCTTTAAGCCTAGAGTAAACAATATTTAGAAAATGTTTTTATATACTATGAACCACTTCCCCAAGGCTTAATAAGTTTATATATATATGTATAAAGCATCAATGATTAGACAATTTGTTTATAGTGCCTGGCATGGTCATCAGTTGACTCCAAAATACTAACATCTTGACTTCAAGTCTATAAAAGATTTATATTTCAATCCCGAAAACATATACATGTACTTACATATAAATCTCGGGAAGGGTTAGAGTAGATATAAACTTGCATCACGAGAACAAAACAGATTTATACTTATATCCCAGGAACAGTTAGAATAGATTTATAGTTGTATCTCATGAACAGTTAGAATAGATTTATATCTATATCCCAGGAACAGTCAGAATAGTTTTATACTTATATCCCAGGAACAGTTAGAATAGATTTATACTTATAACCCAGGAACAGTCAGAATAGATTTATACTTATATCCCATGAACAGTTAGAATAGATTTATACTTATATCCCAGGAACAGTCAGAATAGATTTATATCTATATCCCAGGAACAGTCAGAAGAGATTTATACTTATATCCCAGGAACAGTTAGAATAGATTTATACTGATATCCCAGGAACAGTTAGAATGGATTTATACTTATATCCCAGGAACAGTTAGAATAGATTTATTCTGATATCCCAGGAACAGTTAGAATAGATTTATACTTATATCCTAGGAACAGTTAGAATAGATTGATACTTATATCCCAGGAACAGTTAGAATAGATTGATACTTATATCCCAGGAACAGTTAGAATAGATTTATTCTGATATCCCAGGAACAGTTAGAATAGATTTATTCTGATATCCTAGGAACAGTTAGAATAGATTGATACTTATATCCCAGGAACAGTTAGAATAGATTTATACTTATATCCCAGGAACAGTTAGAATAGATTGATAGTTGTATCTCAGGAACAGTCAGAATAGATTTATACTTATATTCTAGGAACAGTTAGAATAGATTGATACGAATATCCAAGGAACAGTTAGAATATATTTATAGTTGTATCTCAGGAACATTCAGAATAGATTTATATCTATATCCCAGGAACAGTTAGAATAGATTTATAGTTGTATCTCAGGAACAGTTAGAATAGATTTATATCTATATCCCAGGAACAGTCAGAATAGATTTATACTTATATCCCAGGAACAGTTAGAATAGATTTATACTTATAACCCAGGAACAGTCAGAATAGATTTATACTTATATCCCATGAACAGTTAGAATAGATTTATACTTATATCCCAGGAACAGTTAAAATAGATTGATACTTATATCCCAGGAACAGTTAGAATAGATTTATACTTATATCCCAGGAACAGTTAGAATAGATTTATACTTATATCCCAGGAACAGTTAGAATAGATTTATACTTATATCCCAGGAACAGTCAGAAATAGATTTATATCTTATATCCCAGGAACAGTCAGAATAGATTTATACTTATATCCCAGGAACAGTTAAAATAGATTTATACTTATATCTCAGGAACAGTCAGAATAGATTTATACTTATATCCGAGGACCAGTTAGAATAGATTTATACTTATATCCCAGGAACAGTCAGAATAGATTTATATCTATATCCCAGGAACAGTCAGAAGAGATTTATACTTATATCCCAGGAACAGTTAGAATAGATTTATACTGATATCCCAGGAACAGTTAGATTTATACTTAATCCCAGGAACAGTTAGAATAGATTGATACTTATATCCCAGGAACAGTTAAAATAGATTGATACTTATATCCCAGGAACAGTTAGAATAGATTTATACTTATATCCCAGGAACAGTTAAAATAGATTGATACTTATATCCCAGGAACAGTCAGAATAGATTTATACTTATATCCCAGGAACAGTTAGAATAGATTTATTCTGATATCCCAGGAACAGTTAGAATAGATTTATACTTATATCC